ACGTGGTTAACTTCATCTCAAGACAGTCACTTAATGTAGTAACTCGAGTTGGGCTACAGTGACCCATTTCTGATCTGGGCTTGTGACTGTTAAGTTGCAATTTTGATCCGGTATATGCCTATTAGAGTCCGGGCGTCACAAGCAGCGGTAGCAGCAAAGACGAATCTTCGGAGGTCTATGGTCGATGGCAACAACAGAGAAAGAAAACGAGGGGAAAGGGGGTCTCCGGTGAGGTGTCGAGAGCAGCAGCACTGACGAACACGAGGCCTTCGGTGGGGTTTTCTCGATGTAAGAAGAAGGGGAGGGTGTGAGGGGTGGGTCATCGGTCGGTCTCAGTGGGTGTTGCGATGAGGCCATTTGCGATCGGTGGTTGAAAAGGGAGGCACCTTCGGTGCTTGGCTGGACCGAAGAGGGAAAAAGAATGGAAGCAGTGGATGGGAGGGTCTGCTCCGGTAACTCCCCTGTTCTTCTTTCTCTTTTTTTGTTAGTTTTGATCGAAACTGATGAAGGGAATCACTGTTTAGGTGTTGATGTTTGAAAGGGAATCAATGGGTGTTTGGGTTGGGGATTGGTCATCGGAATAGGGAGGGACAAAGGTGGATACTGATGTTTCTGGTCCAATGGCGAAAAAAAAGAAGGTAGTCGGGGGTGTTTCTGGTAGCGATCGATGAAGGAATAAGGCAGCAGCAAAAACGATTCTCAGGGGTTTTTGGAGGGTTCGATTGACAGGAAAGGAGCTGTGGTTTTACTATCTTCACCGATGGAAAGATGGGTGAAGGGAGCGCTTTTATTTCACATTTAACTTGTAATTGTATATATAAAATCTGATCCCTCAGATTTGATTTTATTTTAACGTGATTTTTGGTGTACAATTTATAATTTAGGATTTGACTTTATTTTAACTTGATCTTTGGCTATACAATTTAGATGGTAGTAGGAAATATACATATACACTTAAGTATCATTTAGACTTCTAGTAGAATTCTAATCAAGTGGTGATTTTTTGGGATTTTAAGAAATCATTTATACCCATTTTTCCTATATACGTTTAATTTTAATTAATTTTACCCGTGTTAAATTTATATAGAAAACTCTAAGAATTTAATTTAAGGAGAAATCACATTTATTATACATGATTAATTTGGATAATCTTGAACTCACATAAGACAATATATATATATATATATATATATATATATATATATATATATATATATATATATACAGAGAGAGAGAGAGAGAGGTGGGTTCAATTGAGAAAATAAAAATGGTTGAGAATGGGGAAATTATTCTCAGCCACTCGTTTAATCTAAGCATAAAAGACACGGTGGCAAACTTGTAAATATTTTAATAACCTTCAATCTCAAATACGTAACTATAGAGAATTCGATAACTATTCGTTCAACATCAAAACTTTTCCTCCAACCTTCAATAATCATCTACATTTTTTCAACTAAACTGGAATTTCTTTGCTATTCCTGAAATTGGAATCGGAGTTCTGGACTCGCAATCACAGTCGACATTGAGGGACTTAGAATCGGTACTCACAGGTTCCCATTCGGATTTTCGGAAATCAAAATCAAATTGAGTAATCGATCAGAGATTGGATGTCGCATCTGAAGTCGAAATCGGAAGTATATGATGATTTGGAATTGATAACTTGATGTTTTTAACATTTTTAAAATAGTTAACTTGTTTGCACTCCAACTGTATGATGAAATGCATAAACTAAATTACCACGTTATATTCACATATGAATACGTTTTCTCACCTGAATCAGTATATGATTATTAAAAACACAAAACAAATATGCAAGTCTGTATGTTATTCATATGTGAATAACATATAAAAATTATATATTTGTCAAAATACCTTCAATATTCATAAGTGAATATACCTTGTAATATTTATATGTGAATATACTATGTAATATTGATAAGTAAATATATCATCTAATATTCACAAGTGAATATACTTTGTAATATTCACATGTGATTTACCATGTAATACTATGTAATATTCACATATAAAATATCATTTAATACTCATAAGTGAATATACCATCTAATATTCACAAGTGAATATACTATGTTAATATTCACAAGTGAATTTATTGTCAAATATTAAAATATGAATATACTATGTTTATTATATGCTATATTCATATATGAATGATACTTAAATTGTAAAAAAAAAAATGATACTTTTTCTTCATAAGTGAATAACGAATGTACTGTAATAAAACCTGATGCATTATTATTCATTTAGGAATAACGATAGCTGAAAATAAAAAAAATAAAAAAAAAATTATTTTATCTTAAAACTATATCAATATGGATGTCTATTTGTAGAGAATAAAAAATCATGAATTTTGGTACATTTAAAATCATTTTTTGATAAAAATAGCTTATAAAAATTTTAAAAAAAAAATGAAAAAAACTATGTTTTTGTGTACATTAAGGTAATGATTAGCATAGTTTAAGGAAATATGTTATGTTGGAAAACACATGTGCATTCGTTACCCATTTCCGCTGGTACGTTGGAACCTTTTGCGGCAAAAATAAATGATTGGCTGAGAATGATTCCTCGTTCTCAATCTTTTTTTTTCTCAAATGAACCCTCCCCTATATATATATATATATATATATATATATATATATATATATATATATATATATATATAACCACCTTAGAATGAAAAGAAAAGCAAATGATTTCAGTTAAAACAGTTTTAGTGCTTCGGCTTGATGCCTAAAGATGAGCAACCCATTAAAATTAAACGTTTGTCATAGAATTTCAAGAAACGTAAGTAGTTCTAATGTAGGTTGCTATTAAAAAACTGGAAATGATATTTTTTAAAACAAGTTAATAGATTCTTTCCAAAATGCACAACTAAACTCTCCAAGTTAAAGAAAACTTGCGAAGTAACTGTAAATAATATGATTATAAATCATTGAATCAAACACAAAAAGTGATCAATGATTTGAAAGTTTGAAAAATAAAAAAAAGGTTTTCAATCATAAGGATTCATTATAAACAAGCTATTATAAAGATTCATTTGCCGCTTAGATAGTGGTAATATTTGGGTATTATCATTCTCCAATGGGATGAAGATGTATGTCAGTTTCTAATCTACATCACTTACTACAGATCATAAACTATGTCAATGATAAATACAAAATATTCAACTTTTATTAACAAACCAAATGAGCAATTTCAATCAATGTCGTTGCTAATATATTATAAAACATTGTCTCAGATTACCTTTTTTTTGTTAATATAAACTTAGTATATTTATAAACCATCATAGGCAATAATGAGCATACACTACACAAAACAAAACAAACAAGAAATTAAAATGTTTAAAAGGAGCAAACTGAAATAGTTTGAGGAAGATCATAATAATTGCATCCGAGATTCCCATCGTAGACTTGGTCTATCCCTACTCCAAAACTGGAGTTCTGATGTCCCAGTCTTTTTATCATCAATTGCATTAATATATGAATCACACAACTCAATAAGCATATAAATGTTTGACCAAATGAAACGCTCAAAGGGAAGAAACAACAAAAAGTGAAAAACATGTAACCACATACAAACAAGATTTACTCCTCAGGTTAGGTTGAATTCATAGTTTCAAGATTGAAAACTACATTTAGAACCTATCACAAATACATGAATAATATCACCATAGACACAAAAAAAATAAAATAGTTGAAGACGTAACAGAAAGATCAAAGACCAATATGATAAATTTTCCAAAAACAAACTCTCACAATTGGCATAACAGAGATGTAATCAGATAGCAGCAATTATACCTTTTGTCGTCGGACAGATACAATAGGCCAAGAGCAATTGTCGATTGTTAATATAGATGTTCTTTATCTTAGACTTTGGAAAGCCAAAAGCAAAGCCACGAAGATTTTTAAAAGGAATAATTTACCGATTATTCATGGCTGATGTTGATTTTTTTTTTTAAAGGAAATCAAAATTCCAAAACTGCCTCAATCATCATCTTCTCCTTCTTCTTTATCAAATATGCCTTTTCTAGGCCCATTTTCTCACCAAATGCAGGGTATATTGTGGGGGAGGAATAGAATATCCAAAACAAATAGAAGTGTCGATATTATTATAATGTTAAAATGGAATCTGGATTATAAAAAAAAAAGTAAAAAAAAGGTCGCCTTGATTCTACAAAGTTAAAGGTCGAATTAGGACAAAAAGACTAATAATAATAATAATATTAAAAGGCTTTCATTGATTTTTAATTTATAATTGTGAAAATTATCACACTTAACCATAGGTGACGTCCTTAGACAATCGACATAAAATTATATATATATATATATATATATATATATATATATATATATACACACACACACACACACACACTAGGTTTCTGCCGCGAATCTTGAGAACATCCTTCAATCTCTAAAACTTTCAACCATTGTAGTCTGTCAAACTCCTCGCTCAAGGTTGGTTGTGCACCAGCCCGACCATAAATACCATAGGCATATGTTCCGGGTTTATTTATGGATGGCTTATGTACGGTACTAACCATAGTTGAGGCATTTGACCTATAGTTTTGAGTTTGTGGTTTTAATTGGAGGTATGTTAGAATTTTATTAAGTATTCTCCTTGTAGGTCATAGTATATATATAACTCTTATATATTATTGTTGGTGAGGTTTGCAGTATTATTAGTTTTTGTTTTGTACTCCAAGACTACCAAGCATAGACGACGGTCAGACAGGAACACCGGAGGGTTGGACAATTATAGCAATTAAGCCGTTCATAAATCCAACAACCCAATACGGCCCTTCAAACCAGATTCTCTATACCGTAAGTAGTCAAGAAGTGGTGTAATTAATAATAATAATAATACTTTTATTAGAAGCTACTTGCTATAGTTGTATTCCTGTTTCAAGGATACGACTTTTCTATGACCAGTTTAGCTCTGATACCAATCTATCATAGCCCCGGTGGAGGCGGCGGAACATGCTAGGCTGTGCGACTAATTTCATGGATCACAGGTAAACTGAATATTTAGCACAAGTACAACAAAAAACAATATAACATCTGTTTTCTATCTTGATATTTGAATACAATGTTTTTACAAATAATAAGAATACATGAATTGCCTTAACAGATAGAAATATAATACAACTAAACTGGGTCACCTATAATCAAATCTTTCTTAAAGCGTGAGCGCCATTTGTTCGAATTCGTTTATTTTTTAGAAACTCGTCATAAGAAACCACAAATTCATAAATGTTGACGTTTGCAGCACCTCCAGGGCCGTTTTGTAACAAAGATACACTATAGGGGTTGTTCTGTAATTTCGCTAAACTATAGGGGCTGTTTGGTAATTTAATTTAACGAGTGTGACTGTTTTGGTAAAAGAATGTCAAATGAGGGGTTGTTTTAAATAACCGGGTTCAATGTTTAGGGGTTTGGGACTTCTTTTGAATAATGGGTTTATTAGGGAGGGTAGTTTTGTCATTTTATAAACAAAAAGTCATTTAGGGATTTTATGTATAAAGGGATCTCCTGACGGACTATTTGTGTTTAAGTGGTCCAACTTAATGAAATTAGGGATCATACGCCCCTGTTTTTGTCGTTCAAACGAAAGGAAGTCGAACACGAAGGAACGACATAGATACGAACAACGACCGCGGCAGAATGGAGCATAAGGCTTCGTCGGTCGATTCGCAAGCCGAGATTGAATCCGGGGTCGACGAGGCCGAAGCAAAGAAGGCGTGAAGAAGTAGCGAAGTTTCGCTCATTCCCATCCGGCTGTGAGGTGCGAAGGAAGGAGGTCTAATAGCGAGTCCGGGCGTCGCAAGCAGCGGTAGCAGCAAAGACGAATCTTCGGAGGTCTATGGTCGATGGCAACAACAGAGAAAGAAAACGAGGGGAAAGGGGGTCTCCGGTGAGGTGTCGAGAGCAGCAGCAGTGACGAAGACGAGGCCTTCGGTCGGGTTTTCTCGACAGAAGAAGAAGGGGAGGGTGTGAGGGGTCGGTCGTCGGTCGGTCTCAGTGGGTGTTGCGATGAGGAAATTTGCGATCGGTGGTTGAAAAGGGAGGCACCTTCGGTGCTTGAAAAGGGAGGGTCTGCTCCGGTTGCTCCCCTATTTTTCTTCTTTCTCTTTTTTGGTTAGTTTTGATCGAAACTGATGAAGGAAATCACTGTTTGGGTATTGATGTTTGATAGGGAATCAATGGGTGTTTGGATTGGGGATTGGTCATCGGAACAGGAACGGACAAAGGTGGATACTGATGTTTCTGGTCCAATGGCGAAAAAAAAGAAGGTAGCAGGGGGTGTTTCTCGTAACGATCGATGAAGGAATAAGGCATCAGCAAAAACGATTCTCAGGGGTTTTTGGAGGGTTCGATTGACAGGAAAGGAGTTGTGGTTTTACTGTGTTCACCGATGGAAAGATGGGTGAAGGGAGCTCTTTTATTTCACATTTAACTTGTAATTGTATTTGTAAAATCTGATCCCTCAGATTTGATTTTATTTTAACGTGATTTTTGGTGTACAATTTATAATTTAGGATTTGATTTGATTTTAACTTGATCTTTCGCTGAACAATTTAGATGGCAGTAAGAAATATACATCCACAGTGTAAGTATCATTTAGAATTTTCCATTTTTCCCATATACGTTTAATTTTAATTAATTTTACCCGTGTTAAATTTATATAGAAAACTTTAAGAATTTAATTTAAGAAGAAATCACATTTATTATACATCATTAATTTGGATATACTTGAACTCACATAAGACAGTATATATATATATATATATATATATATATATATATATATATATATATATATATATATATATATATATATATATATATATATATATATATATATATATATATATATATATATATATATATATATATATATATATATATATATATATATAGCTCCGGTAAGAAAATTTTTTTTTGTAGGAAGGTAAGAAGTTTTTTTTCTACATATTTTCTTGACGAACAAACAAAATGAATCATTAGATGATTCACAAGAAAAAATTCCCAAAAAAACATCTTTATGATTCATTTTTAAGTAAATTAAGAAAAAATTAATTTTTATGATAATTTTAGTGAATAACAACAAAATCATTGTATAAATGAATCATCGAGATGTTTTTTTGACAATTTTTTCTTGTGAATCATCTTACAAATGAATCATCTAATGATTCATTTTATTTGTTCGGGAAAAAAATATGTAGAAAAAAAACTTCTTACCTTCCTACCAAAAAATTTCTTCTTATTTGATCTTGACTCTATATATATATATATATATATATATATATATATATATATATATATATATATATATATATATATATATATAACACCTAAAAGGTTAAAAATACGAGAACAAATCTGGTACATTAAATATTTATAATCTAAGGATGTCATTAATCATTAATTTAAACAAAATATTAAATGAATTTAATTTTTTTTAATTAAAAAAAATAGAAAAGGGTATTCAAGTAATTTTATGATGTCATCCATTTTGAATATATCAGGTAAGTTTAAAAATTAAAAGAAATTGTTCCTATGTTTTAGTAATCACAACTAACTTCTAATCTTTTGGATGATTCGATCGTATCTAGAATGCAAAATATCACAGCTAAACCTTTATACTAGACCTGATTAATATTGTTCATCCGTAAAGAGGTATTTTGCATTCAGAACTCCGTGAAGGGTTGAAGGTGGAGGAATGTCGTCGATGATCAACTGAAGTGGAAGAAGTAAGCTTTCTAATCCTTTTTGAATGCCGATTGACTGGAAAGCGTGTGTAGTAGTGTGTTTATTTTTTGTTAATGTGTACATTTTAACGATTCTTAAAACCCTAGAAGTTAGGTTTTTCGTTTTTTCTTGATATTATCGATTATGAACTGTAGTGATTCTTCATCGTTGATGATTTTTGATTTAAAGGTTGTATTTTACAAATGACACGTTGGTGTATGTGAATGTTTAAATGAAAATGGTAATTGTAGATGATTTTCGAAGTTACGGTATTCTGATATTGAATGTGTTTAAAAATTAATCGTTTATGATTGTGTTTGAAAGTTCTAAGATGCATATACATGTGTAATCGTAGTCGACTACTTTGAACTGAAGTAAGGTTACGAAAACCCAAAAATTAGGGCTTTTTTTTTACTTTTGTTTTAAGAGTGTTATTGTTGATCAATGGCAAAATAAATACATTATAAGTAGGACAAGAGGAGTAATTGATGTTAGTATTCGATTGTGAATGGTGTTTAGTAGAAAAATAATAACGAAGGCTATAAATGTCATTCATTACTAATGATTACTTGTAAAATCCGATTGTTTGTGCGACAGAAGTACTTTTCTAGTATTAATCCTTGTTGTTGGTTGTATATTATGTATATTGTTAAAGTCATATTCAGTTGTGAATGGGTAGTTTATTGAGTATATATGTGGTTTTGATCCTATACATGATGTACTAAGTAAAGAATAATGGTGTAGGAGTCCCTACTATTTTTTGTGAGTAAGTTAATTACACTGTTTGTTTATTGATTATTATTGTAAACATTCCTCTGTTTTTGGGTATGTGCTTAATTGTGTTTGTGTTTAGTAGGTATAATTTATGATTATTTGAGTTGTTAATGATTCAATTCTGAGTTATAATGATTAAGGTATTTTAATTCTACTATTAGGTAGAAAGAAAAGCGAGAGGATATTACTAAAGACGACATTCAGCAAATTCACTAATGAAGAATCCAATCCATTGCTTATTGATATTGAAGATGAAGACAATGAAGGAAACGAAATAGTACAACCTCGGATTAGAAGAGAAGGACAAAAGAAGTGTTCAACACCTAAGAAGAAAACAAAAAAACAAACTGGTGGTGATGATGATTATATGAAATTTAAAATGTTAAATATCAATTGGAATCTATAGTGATTAGGTGTCTTATTTGTTGGACAGATGTGGGGGAACGTGTTAATCGCACACCAGCTCATTCAATGCGAAGAGATCTTAAAGTTGTAGTTTTGAGCTCAGATTCAAGTAATGTACTTGTTTAAAAATAAATTTATTTAGAGTTTGATGTTGTAGTTAGTTTTAATAACTTGTGTTGTTTTGTATTTATTAATAGAAAAGAACATGAAACCCAAAGTCAATGTGAAGAAGTTTGATGGAGGAAATTCAAGGTTTTCAAAATCTAAAAAAAAATATACATAAACAAAAAGGTATCAATGATGATTTCATGTAATGTAACTTGTATATTAAAGTAACTTCAGTTATGATTATGTTGTCTACTTATTGGCAGGTTTGATTGAAAGTTATGACATGACAGAAGATAGTGGAATAAATATGGAAAATGAATTGAGAACAAAAAGATGTTTTGATAGATGTAAAATAAAAGGTGATGAATTTGTTGTTATAAACTCATGTTCAGGTAGTGTTTTTTTTAATAAATTTAGTATAGTATTATTTTGGTAATTTATTTATAATCATTTATTGTGTTAAATATGTCTTAATAGGAAAAGATAATGTTACTAACAAGAAGCTTGATGAAGATGAAGACTCTGATTTTGAAGATGACAAACCTGTGGTAACAAGGAAAAAGAGAAGGCATTATACTTCATTCAAAAATGATGACAAAGAAAATGTGAAGAAATTTAAAAGACAAAGGAATAAAGAAGGAAATGTAGTGAAGGCAAGAAAATTGCCTAAAGTTGTAGCAAGTGATGCAGAAGAAGCAAGGCGAATACAAGTACGAACATCTCCAAATGTTTTGTACAGTTTTATGCATAACCTTAGCAAGGAACAAGAAGCTTATATTTCTTCTATTAGTCTGGGGCATTTGTTGAATATGAAAGTGGATGGGTGTGCATCATATATAGGGCATTATATTGTAAGGAATCTTGATACAAATAGGATGGTACTCAAACTTCATCATGGAGAGATACCAATAAATCGGCAAGTTATTCACGAAATGTTGGGTCTGCCTCTGGGACATGTTACAATAAAGTCCATGCCTTATAGAGAAGTCACAGACGACACGATAACTGTTTGGAGAAAACAATTCGAAGATGAAGATAATATTAGACCAAGGGCAGTTCAACAAGTTATTATGCAATCAACACGTGCGGATTTTATCTTTAAAGTAAACATCTTTGTCCTGTTGTGTAATACACTAGGTCAGTCGATGAGCATGGGAACATGTGACCTGTCGATGTTATCAAAGTCACGAAAGACCTGGATCTAAGTGACATTGATTGGTGTGGATATGTTTTTGATTGCCTTAAGGAGACAAAAGTGCATGGAATCCAAACAGCAAAAAAGGATTCTATGTTGGGCCAATTATATTACTGTTGGTAACATTTGTTTTAAATTCAGCTGTCATTCAATATTGGTAGACTTATGTGTGCAGATTCATTAAAGTGTATTTAAGTAATATGCTGTTAGAATGCTGATAAACTACTTTTTTATTTTATGTGTGTTCCGAGTGACTCAATCTAACCACTAGCATCAGTAAGTTTTTCCTGTACAAATTGAAAAGGTAAACATCATAAGAATAAGACACTTCGCGTAGACCATAAAAGACATAAATACGCTTTCGTAGTAAGTCAAATACTAAGAATTATGTAGTTATAAACGATATCAATTCACACAAGAACGACGTCATAAATCAATACCTAAAACATATATTAACAAAAAAGAAATAAAAATAAATAAATCAATATTTTGACATTATTAATATAAAATCATAAATAGTCCATTTGTTGAAATGCAGTTATTATGTAGTTATTTAACAAAAGGGTAAAGAGTCTAAAAACACAAAACATACCTTGCCAGGTCTTCCATCAGGAACTTTGAAGGTAATGATTGCTTCCAATCCAGATTCCAGGGGCAAGTTCATCAAGCACTGTACTTTTCAATTATTTTGTTATCATTATATCATTCTAATTTCACCCTTTATTACAACATTGTACTTCAAAATGAGATCATTTCAACTGGTACCAGGTTTACAACAGCTATAATTCGATACACTTGTGAAAATACAATCATGTTTTATTAAATCACCTGTAATGCCCCAATTCTCAAGTATGGGTTTAAATGAAAGTTATTTGGTTTTGAGACCTACTCGATGAGTTTGTTGCCCTACTCGTCGAGTAGCAGCGAGGTGGGATCGTGTATTTAGTGGCCTACTCGCCGACTCCATAAAGTGACTCGACGAGTAGGAGTTGGCAGATGAAACCCTAAATCCCGGGGTTTTGCATCCTATTTAAAGATGCATAATCCCCCTTTAGCCTATTTGCAGTCCATTAAGAAACCCTAATTCGAGTGGTGCTCATCCTTGTGTGTCTTGAGCTTTAGAGAGGAGTTTTTGCAAAGGAAGAGCTTGGAGGACAAGAGATTAGGAGCAAGGAAAGTGTGGGAATCAGAAATCTACCTCAGTTGGCATCATTTGAAGGTATCAAGTCGCCACCTTTACTTCATTTTCCTCCTAGACCTCATTTGGTTGAGATTTAGGGCTTTTATGGCATATTTGAGATGATAGTGTGGGGTATGCGCTAGATCTGAAGTTGTAACTTCAGATCTGGACCTTTATTGGGTTCTAGAGTCAAAAATCTATGAACTTGGTCATGTAAGAAACCTTCCTTGAGTATGAAACCCCATTGTAAGCTTGGATTTCTCATTTAGAACCTTTGTAGCCATGCATGCACGTAAAGTTTGCAACTTTACGTGAAATGCATGCCTTAGAATCTTGGATCTAGAATTTGGAGCCACGACATGGCTTAAAAGAGTCTGTATGGCTTATGGACTGAAGGAACTCGGCGAGTCGTAAGGACGACTCAACGAGTCATATGAAGATAGGCCTAGACTCGAGGAGTTGGATGAACAACTCGACGAGTCCGATGAAGATTTCCATAGAACTCGACGAGTGGTATGAACCACTCGGCGAGCTGGATGAGTTTTCCCCAATATATGTATGCGTGTGTAACTGTCGAGTTCCAAGAAGGAAAAATTCGATCGTAAACCAAAGGAACTCGACGAGTCACTCCGCGACTCGGCGATTGGACAAGTACTTCAAGGAACTCGATGATTTGTCGAGTGTACTCGGCAAGTGAAGGTCAACATGGACTGTTGACCTTGATTGATGACTTTGATTTTTGGACAGGGTCTGATTAGTTGATTGTTGGAGTACCTTGAAAGGTTGGGAATTTATCGGTATAATTATATTATGGTAATAGGTGGTGGAGCTTTTGACAGTGATCCGAGAGTTAGAGTTCATCTACCGAGTCGACATCTGCAAAGTGAGTTATCCTCACTATATCAGTAGGGTCTACGGCACCAAGGCCGACCCTTAAGTTGTTATTGTTATGATGTGATACATGTGGTTATGATCTGTTAGATTGGAATCAGGATAGACAGTATATTATGCTCTTATGATCCGTATGGATTGGTATGTTAGTGACCTAATAGGTCGGTACTCTAGTTACGAGGGATTTCAATGATCGGTGATCAGTGAGATAGATATGTTTAATGTTTGTATATGCCAGTATATGATAGTTATGCGCACTTGGTTATTTGCTTTTTGGTTGGGTTGAGGCGGTCCTACTTTGTGGTGAAGGTCAACATACCCTATGAGAGGTCCGTGGAGATTGTAGGCCCACGTGGCGGTCTAGTCATGCCGAAGGCTCAAGACAGATTGGAATCAGGATAGACAGTATATTATGCTCTTATGATCCGTATGGATTGGTATGATCTATTAGATTGGAATCAGGATAGACAGTATATTATGTGATACATGTGGTTATGATCTGTTAGATTGGAATCAGGATAGACAGTATATTATGCTCTTATGATCCGTATGGATTGGTATGTTAGTGACCTAATAGGTCGGTACTCTAGTTACAAGGGATTTCAATGATCGGTGATCAGTGAGATAGATATGTTTAATGTTTGTATATGCCAGTATATGATAGTTATGCGTACTTGGTTATTTGCTTTTTGGTTGGGTTGAGGCGGTCCTACTTTGTGCTGAAGGTCAACATACCCTATGAGAGGTCCGTGGAGATTGTAGGCCCACGTGGCGGTCTAGTCATGCCGAAGGCTCAAGACAGATTCAGTTAGACTGTAGGCCCTGCCGGGCGGTCCAGTCAGGCTGATGGCGTAGTATTCATGTTGTTAATTGTTTGTTGTTGATATGGTATTATCAGTGTGGTATTGGTATTTTGGGGGTAGCACACTAATCTCTCGGGCTTACAGTTTTCAGTTATTGTTTCAGGCACTTCAGGATATCATGGCAAGTCAAAGGCTTGACCGTACCGCTCCTCATCCTTTTGATCTAGTTATTGGGACACTCTGATTAACAATGATTTGAATACATTTTGTAAACAAATACTATTTAGTTTTATTTATAATTGAAAAAGTTTTAATTTGGCATAAATTTTTTGGATGTCACAAGTTGGTATTAGAGCCTTGGTTTGAGTGAATTGGAGGAACACTCGTGTGAATCCAGTCTCAAATCAAGGGAATTTTCGGAATAAATACTAAAATGGTTTTCAAAATAAGGATGGAGGATGCAAAGGGTACGATCAGTCGGAGCCTGTAAGTAAACTCCAAAATACGATACAGTTATTTGATATTATGATATGATAGAACAACATGCTAGTGCTAGGTTAGGAGTCTTCAGGAATCGCATGATAAGATTTGCCTGATTATATGATGCCTACTAGCCTAGGGTTTCTTGTATATGGAATTGACATCATAACTTTAGATGTTTAGTGTGTGCATCACGGCTGTGTATAATCAAGATCTTATAGCCTGAGAATGTCTGATTCGAGCTTAGTGTAGGATTGGGTATTTGAAAGTCTATAGTGTCCAGCGTTATGTGTGGCTAGCATACACTAGTACTATAGGGTTGGTGAAAGTTCCATGGATGTGTGAGTTGTGAGAAGCTATGAGACCTGTTGCGAGATAGCTGATATTCCCCTAGGAGTGAGGGTTGAGCGCATATTATGTTGATGTTAGTGTTAGGGCGTTTTGATGATACTTGAGACAAATATGGGTAGGTGTGGAAGGTAGTATGGGCCCGTACTACTGAAAACACAGGACCCATACGCGTAGCAAGGAAGTCACAACCCCTAGGGTTGTGAGAATTGGTCTCCCAATATCATGTCATTTATATGACGTATTGGTTATATTTTTCAGTATGGTGATGACGAGATGTTTTGCTACTAGTGCCGATTCAGGATCAGGATCGGGATCGGGATCGGGAGACGGAGGGTCGGAGGTGCCGGTAGCTCTTGAGCCCGTGGTACAGATAGGGACAGAGGAGTTGGATGCCAGGATCCGAGAGATTCTGCACGATGAGATTGTTGCGGCATTCCGAGCGCATCTGCCGGGGATGTTTGGGTCGATTAAGACCGTGATGATTGAGTACTTTGATGAGCGGTATGCAGCTCTAGTAGAGACAGCTACCGCAGTAGCCACATCAGCTGTAAATGTAGCAGGGGTTGGAGGAGGAGCCGTTAGGGATTTCCAGTATAAGGACTTCAATAACACGAAGCCCCCGGCGTTTGATGGTGCGCAGGATGCGATCAGGGCTATGAGGTGGTTATCAGATGTGGAGGGCTTTTTCTTCACGTGTTTATGTCATGTTGAACAGAAGGTCAAGTGTTCCCTAAACTTGATGAGGCTTGGGGCGAAGGATTGGTGGAGATTGATGACAGGGTCGTACACTGATGATCAGCAAGCTGCTGTTACTTAGAAGCAGTTTTGGGATATGTTCCGCACCCGCTACATTCCACGCGTTGAGCGGGAGCGACTTGCTCAGGAGTTTTTGACATTGAGGCAGGATGGGGAGTTAGTGATGGAGATCACTCATATGTTCACGAAGAGGGCTATGTTTTGCCCGGAGGCTGCTTCAGAGCAGTCTCAGATGACTCGTTATCTGAGTATGCTCAAGACGGATATTAGATGGTTTGTTTCTATGCAATGTTCTGAGAATCTTTTGGATCTTAAGGAAGTCGCGAGGCGGCATGCGTTAGAGATAGAGCTGCAACTAAGGGAGCAGCGTCAGGTTCCGGTACAGTCTCAGCCAGCACCTAAGCGGGCCAAGACCACTGATACTCGGACCGGGGGTCAACAGAGCCGCACTTATGGAAAGTGTGGTAGGGGTCATTCTGGGGTTTGTCGAGCAGGAGGTGGTTGCCACAAATGTGGCAAGGAGGAGCACTACGCCAAGGACTTTCGCCA